AAATCCTGCTTCAGGTTCACTCTCTGCCAGCCTGCCATTTAGAGATAGGCTTGCTTATGGGAGGAAGATGGGGTGGTTAAGATTTCAAGTGCCATTCACGTGATGTGTGTGCTCTTAGCGTGCCCTCACTTCTCTGTGCCTGTACAAAACCAGCTGCCACCAAAGCCTGAGCCAGGTCTGTGCTGCTGCCTGCATGCTGCAGGCAAAGCTTCTCTTCTGAGTGCTGGAGAAGCACCCAGAAAGCTGCACATATCTGGTTGTGGTCAGTTCCCCAATAGGTCAGAGCAAGTGTAATGATACTGCTGTCATTCCAACCAGATCTTGGGCAGCCATGCATTCCTGCGTGTTCCTGATGTTTCTATCTGTAATTGGAATCAGAGAACACAAGGAAGTGCAATATTTAAGGGAGGAGAGCTGCACTGATTTCCATTGAAATACCTTTATTTTTTTTTTTTTTTCCCCTGCTGTTTGTAATTAATAGATAATTAGTGCTGAAAGAGATTGATTTCATTTGTGGAATAAGGCTATGAAGCATTCACCAGATAAATATGGGAGCTCCTGTTGAGGGGCAGCACTGGGAGCAATGAGTTGAGCATCCCTGCCTGGGTTGGAGGGGAACCTGGCGGTGTGTGAGCTGAGGAGCCTCAGGCTGCTGCTGGGTGAATGCTTTCATTCAGAAGTAAAGCAGCTTCATGTTGCCTTAGCACAAACTTCCTTTACATTTTAAAGTTCATCATTTTCCTAAGGTTGTAATAAATAGTGCTGGAAGGTGTGAAATCACCCAAGACAATCTGGTGGATGGTGTCGAGCTCGGATAAAGCCACCTACAGCACCAGCTCAGAACGGATTTGATCAGTCTTCTTTTCTGTTTTGACTGAATTTCTAAAGCCGTTTTCCAGTGTGACTCATATTAAAAAGTAAAAAAAAAAAAAAAAGGAAAAGGCTTTAGGGTCAAGCTGGAATAACACAGAGAGCCCGAGAGCAGACAGCTGTAAAAGTCACCGCACGGCCGAGTTGAACCCTTCTGGTGGGTGCTGGCTCGTTCCCAGCTATTCAATACGTGGTGTTCCCTTTCTGCAGGGTCAAACTGCAGTGACTTTTGCCATGCTCTTTCATCTCATTCTCTGCTCTCAGTCTCCACGTGGACGGGTGAGGTTCATGGGAGCGTCCGTGTGATTTCTCTCAGGAATGGAGCATTTGAACCAGAAGAGAAAGGTCTGCTCCTGCCTTAACATAAATAAATTGTAGGTGCTGCAGAGAAAACAGGCTCAGGCCGTGGGACAGGAAGGCTGTGCGTGCTGGAGCTCAGTGTATCACCCTGTCTGCCTGGAAGATGCATTGATAGACAAAAGGGAAGGGTGTGTGGGCAGACTTAAATACTTTCAGCTGGAAACAGTCCTTTACTTTCCCTTGCACAGTAGGGACAGCATATCTGTAAATGTATCATAAAACTTGGGTGTATCAGGTTTTTAAGTGAATCACATCACAGGTGTGGAGGAGAGGAAATGCTGTGCCCTTCAATGCTGGGACAGGGGAGCAGGGAGCATCACCAGCTGGGCTGTTTGGGGAGCATGGAAACTTCTCTTGGCTGCATGTTGTCCTCCTTGGGCTGTTTGAGCAGCAAAGCTATAAGTGCTGCTTGTGGAGCTGTGCTTCAGAATCTTTGTCCCTCTGTATCCTGCGAGGTGCAGCCTGTGTAGCCTTTTCCCATTTGTGATCTCAGAGTGGTGGTTTTACTAATGGAAGGTTCCAATCTCTGGCTCCATGGAATTTAAATCATCAGTTGGGTAATTTCGAATCATTTTTCTAGCATGACACTTCCAGCTTTGATTATGGGAGAAAATCAGGAGCCCTGTGCAATATTCTGAAGTCTCGCCAGTCTTTCATGATGCATTTAGTCCTACACAGCCTGAAAGAGCAGGAGAGAATGGAAGATCAGACTGTAATAAGGGAAGAAATGAACCAAAATTTTCCATTTTGTGAGAAATTCCGTAACTGTCATTGTGAACGTTTCTGTATAATGAAATTCCAGAAGAAACCTTTGGTTTTGTTCGAGAGGTTTTTTGTGTTTCTATGTCAAAGTCAGCAGTCAGGTTTTTTCCCTTTAAACATAGTGATGGCTCCTTTTTTGGCATTACTGACATCTTCATTTGGGACTTGATTTTTTGTCTTTGTGAAATGTGTCATACCCAGTTTGTAACTGAAAGCCTGAATTCAGGAAATCACTTGTCTGTGTGCTTAGCTTCACCCCTATCCTCGCATCCTATTGGAGTTAATGGGATATCACATGCTTGTCTGCATCTGGGCCATCAGTAAGCCTTGAAACTGCAACTGGAAATTAGATGGTGGGCATCCATTGGCTTGAGTATGGAAATAAAATAGGAAGGAGCCATTTCTGCTTCTTGGATGCTCTCTGCTTGAGGCATCAGCAGTGCTTAGCTTTGCTGTGAAACACTTAGCTGCAAACATGAGGTTGGCAACACGGGGCTGAATTAACAGTTGCTTTCTTTATTCTGCTGTGTTATTTACCTTCTATATTAAAAAAAGAGACCTTTCTGAAACTTGAGAATTTTCAGGAAATGGGAGCAAGATCTGCAATTTTCGCATTGGAGGGCTGTGGGGAAGCACTGAGCTTGGACCAGTTCTGTTCTGGATTGCTGCATTGGTTCCTTCCTTATTGCATCCCTTATAAATATGTCCATCTTATTTTTGCTTTAACGTGTATAATTCAGGCTCCAAATCTGCACAAACTTTGTTTTGCTCAACTGTTAGAACAGTTCAGAACTTTTGTACGTACACTTTTTAATTTATTTATGGTGGGCTTTAAGCTGTGGGTCACTGGGAAATATATTTAGGATGCTGGGTAACTTTCTGCTGGGTAGAAATGCGTGGTTTTCCTTCCTGAAACCATGTTCCCTCCCAGCACACCATAGGCACCGTCCTTTTGGGTGGGATGGAAGGAGTCCCATTCCTGTGAGACTCTTGTGACCCTCATGCATGAGAGCCTGAAATCAAGGCTGTGTTGGGCACTGGGCTGCAGCAGTTCTGTCTCCCCACATGCAGCTCCCCTGCCTGCAGGCTGCAGCTTTCATGGTGAGCTCAGCTGTTGCTTAGCAGCTGCAAGGAAAAGGAGCAGGGGTTCTGGGTTACCTTCCTCCACGAGGCTCACACTGCAACAGGGGTTGTGTAGCACAAGAGGAACCTGTGGGAGAGAGAAAGGGCCAGGAGCTGCTGGAGGTAAGCTGTCCCTGCTGGTTACTCAGCATCTCATCACTGCCAGCAGCTTTGCTCTGTGTTGGGCAGGGGATGGATGCATCTTGTGGCACGTGAACAGAGTGCTGGCAGTGCAGGCTGCTCTGCATACCCTGCCCCACTGCCTGACCCCCTGTCCTGTCCTCTGCATTTAACTCCTGCTGGCTTCATGGATGACAGCAAGGCTGTGTTTCCACAGTCCAACATTTTCCATCAAAATGTTGTGAATGACAGAATTGTGACCATTTGATAAATAGGTTTTTTTTTTTTTTTTTCGTGGGCAGCATAGGAGGTTGTGCTGAGATATCTGGGTAGGGCAGAAGCAAAGAGCAGATTGCAGGGATTTCTCAGTCTGCTGTTTGCTACACTGGTGCCCAAACCACACTCAGCTGAAGGTCATGCTGGCGACCTACCAACAGAGCAAAAGCACTTACTTGCAAAAAAAAGATGGCAGAACTTGCAGTCCTGTTTTGGGTTGGTTTTTGTTGTTTTGTTTTCCTATAGACTAAAAGTGAAGTGACTTATAGAAATTAGGAGGAGTTTGTGTTGTATAGATACTCCCTCTGAAAGCTTGTGAAATAGAAATCACTTCTTATAGTATTGAAAGCAGAGTTTATGGGCATAGGACACAATCTGGAGTTACATTAATTTGGAGGAAAATAGCCATTGCACTGGATTATGGGCTCTGTGTTCACAATTTCTCTACAAGCTTTGGCTGTTAGTAGAAAAGCAATGCTTTTGGTTGGTGTTTGTGGAACTTGGAGCGCATGGATCCTCTGTCTGACATCTTCAGTGCTGTGCTGCAGGGCTTTGCTGTTGGCTCTGCTGCTGCCCTCGTCCTTTCCATGGCTGTGAAGCCTCTATGGGAAACCTGACAGGAAGATCTTCTTTTTCAATGTGGCCACACCGTTGTTTCTGGAAAAGAAAGATTGAAGAAGCGCTTGGAATAGAAGGAGGGGAGGTTTGTGGATGTCCGTGGCCACTGATTCAGAGTCCATGTCTGTAAAACAGAAATAGCATCATCTTCTGGGCTGCACTGGAGGATTAACCATTCGTAAAGAGCTCTGACCCACAAACTGCTGCATTATTATGGGTTTTTTTAATTGATCACAATAGGCCATGAAGCATTTAGAAACAGTCATTAGATATTAAAAGCTTTGCAGGGTAAATTACGCTGCGCTGCCATGGCCTTTTTCTTGTCCCCTCGAGCAGTGTGCATCTTGTCAATGGTTTTAATTGGGGAAATGATAGGCAATCAGGAGTGAATTTTCACATAGTGTTGTTATTCATCATAGATTTTTTTCCCCTTAAATTCAGCTGAAGATTTGCCTGAGGCACCTACAGAAATGTCGCAAGCCCCAGTGCTGCCTTCAGATCCTTGTTTGCATGTTCTTCACCCTGTGCAGGATCTGGTATCAAGCTGTTTATACAACCATTTTGTAATTTACGTTTGTGCAAAGACACCTTGTTCACAAAAATGCTACAAAAACCCATCAGATGGGGCTGTTAACAGCTTTGCTGGGTCCCACAACCTCTGGGCCACGTGCAGACCCACTGGTGTGTAATTAGAAGAGCACTCACAATGCAAATTAACACACGTAAATATCGCTAAGGCACTTCAGCTCTTCCAAATGCTTTGCAAAGCGGGATCTCCAGAGCTGTCTGCTACTTCTGCCAGGATCATTACTTTCCTCATCCCAGCAGCCCTGGTGGGTCTGTAACTGCATGGGGCTGTTCTCTCTGTGCAGGGGAAGAGTTGGATCGTGAAGCGCAGCTACGAGGATTTCCGAGTTCTCGACAAGCATCTCCACCTCTGCATTTATGATCGGCGTTTCTCCCAGCTCGCAGAGCTGCCCCGCTCCGACGTGCTGAGGGACAGCCCAGAGGTAAGTTACCAGCTCAGGGAATGAGAGCAGGGCATCATTTCCAGCCTTTAATTTCAATGGCTTTAAAGGGAAACGGCCGGCGAGTTCTTACCTATCAATGTGCAGCTGTGGGGAGCATCCAGAAGGAGGCTGTGCTGTCAGTGCCTCAACCAGGATGCTGGTTTGCCTTGGGAAGCTTCCCCGGTGCTGTGGATATTTGCTGACTTAACACAGTCAACGTTCCTAGGGGGTGATGCTGCTCTGCAGCCACAGCACTGAAATGCTGGATTGTATTTATAGCTTCAGGATGACTGAAGTTATCTTTTTAAGTACATTTGCATTAGTGTCACATTTAAATTGTCTTTAAAGCGTGAGCAAGAGGTTTTTCGTTTGTTGTCACACAGACGTCGCGTGCTGAGAATTGGAATCCTTCAGCTTCTTTGCTGTGGATAACTGGGGGATTCATTCACGTCCGAAATAATTTGCTGGGAAGTAGCAGGTGCATCTTGACTGCATCATTTTGAAAGACAAGGAGAGAGACACAATGCAGTGTGTGGCCACAGAGGGTTATTTGAGCCAGCAGAGCATGACAAAACCGCCTCTGTTGGGCTGCAGTCTGGCTGTGGGAAGAGCCTGTATCCCAGTTACAGGCAGGGCCCGTTGCTTCATTTCACAGGTCACTTGTCTCTGGGCCCTGTGCTTGTGTGTTTGCCCCCTACCATCAAGCACGGCCATGGACCGACCCTGACATGCTCTGTCAGAAGGGGAATGTTGCCTGTCTGAAATGGGAGATCAGAAAATTGAAGCCGTTCTGAGCGTTCAAAGCAGAATCTATCCAGGATCTGTAAATCAGTGTCTGTGTTCTTTCGGTGCCAACTGGGTGAGGATTGATTGCTTTAGAACTGCACACAATGGTTGAAATCAGTCCCCTGCTGCAGACTATGGGGCTTCTGCCATTCGGTACAGAGGGTCAATAATGCTCTTCTATTGCTCAGCAGATAATGTGATTTATTGGTTGCTTTGATTTCATGCAAGTTCTTTCTGAAGAGAATTTAAAGTTACTAGTCTCTTAAATTGCACAGAAGCAGCAATACTCAGGATAATGAATTCCTGCATTTTTTAAAAATTAATTATATTGTAATCACTCCTTCCTCTTAAATCTTCATTTGTGCAGCTAATCAAATGCATTCAATGTGTACTTTATGCCGTGAGGCTGAAGGTCTGCATCCTGTCTGTGAGCACAGAGGATGCTGAGCAGCTCTTCTGCTTTGTGGAATGTTGTCCTGCAGCTGCGTGGTGTCCCGGGCTCATTTCTGTTTGGAACTGACCACGTCTGAACAGATGTTTGAGGAGAACTATTCCAAACAGTCCTACAAACTCTGCTCTGTAATTCTGCTTCATAACACTGGCAGGGAAGCTTTGGGAAGACCTCACTGGCTTCTCTTTTATGATATCAGTGATTTGTGCACGTGTGAAATTCATGATGAGAGGAAGGCTGTAAATTCAGGGTATTTTTACAGGAGAAATTACTAAAAATCTACGTATCTTATATCAAAATCCCATTGCCTTCATAGGGAGCTGCAGCTTTAGACACTTTTTGTCATGTAGTCACTGCAATCCTGAGTACGGTGTGCTCTACTCCTAGTGGCAGATTTCTTTGTGAAAGTGAATATTATTCCTGTAACACTGGCCTATGCCAACAGGTAATTAATGGTAATTCTGAAGGAGTCTCTCAAAGCTGTAGTGAGTTAACTCTATGTGTTTCTTTTCTATTGCAGCTTGTCACCCACACGCTGATGGCTTACCTGTCCCGTCTCTCGGCCATCGCATGCAATAAGATCAACTGTGGGCCTGCCCTGACATGGATGGAGGTACAAAATGAAGCTCTGGTTGTTCTTTGTTCCCTGACTTTAACCAGCACAGTGAGCCGCAGATGTGCTCTCCTGCCTTTCAAAAGAGAGAGATAAACCTTCCAGATCTATCACTGAAAAGCAGTCCTAAAGCTTAATTTCCCCACTACAGGTGTCTGGATGGCCACGAAAGGTGTAGTACAAAAAGAATCAGATCAGGCATTATAAACATGCAAAGGATTTGTCCCATCCTGGTCGGGTTTTATAACCCAAAGGTGTCGTTCTCGTTTTCTCAAAGTAAAGGAAGGTGGCTCTTTTGATGAACCATGGGTGGTGTCAGCCAACCACCATCTCAGTCCTGTCCATGAGGTCTCCAAGGAATGGGTTACAGGAAATGGACAGCTTGCACTCCTTTTTGGGGCTGTCTCATTTCTGCTGTTTCTCCTCTCTCTTTCCTCCTTGCTATAGCTGCAGAAACAATAGATATGATCTGCTCCCGTTTGCCGTCACTGCTGGTTGAACTGCTCAGCAGAGCTTGCTTTGTGCTTGCAGTGGCACTGTTTGCATCTTGTGAATTGCAGCTTTGGTTTCCCTCTTAGCAGCCTTCTACCATCTTAAACAGTCAACATTCTTGGGCCAAGAGTGCAGGAGAAAATGGGGCTCAGGGGGCAGTGCCACCTGTGTGCATCAGTGCCATTGCTGATCAGTCTGGGTGGGGTGTATGTGTCTGCATTGCCTGCTGATACTCCTTGCACACCAGGAACAGAAACAATTGTGATTAGACTTGCAATTCATTATTAAATGCTTATGATAAGGGCCCAGTGCATTCCCTGCAGCTTTCCCTGCAGATGTGCTCCTCTCCATGAAGTCCTTTGGGACGAAACGAATCTTGGAAACCTTCTCAGCATGAAGGGAGGAAGAAAATTAGAGATAAAAAACTGAAACTGTGATAGCCTTTAGAGCAACCCAGTAGAAGTAGAGATGGCAGCAAATGCCACTGGAATTGCTGCAGTGCAGTTTAAATTCCCTAGAATAACCTTTTCAATTAACTGAGATTCTTGCAAAATTTTACGTGAGCACAAAAACCTGGGAATTTTGATAGCAGCAGGGGATGCAGCCATGTTTTCTGAAAATAACAAGAAATAAAAGGGTGGGTGAAAACTGGAAGTGTCACGAGTTTCCAATTGACATCATTTCCCCTTGTTCTGCACTTCTTGAGCATTCGTTCCTTTGCAGGGAATTTCTGTGGTCATTCTTGTATTGTCATTTTAAACGCTTAAGAGAAAAACAATGCAACTAAATGTTAAAGGGAGGGGTAAGCATCCACTGTCTTGCTACTGTTTGTACACAGAGATGAACAGATACAGTTTTTTTGTCCTTAAATGGATGGAGGGGATGTACGACCTTCTGAAATACACTCCACGAATTGCTCTTCCCCTTTCTTTCTGTTTACTCTGCTCTGTGATGCCTCTCCGTGCTGCTCTGCTCTGGGGGGCCCCAAGCTGTGCTGTCTCTGTGAATCAGCTTGAAATCTCAGCCATGTATGAGCACCAATAAAACGCTTCCTCGCCTGTCCTCAGCTGCCTCACAGCCGCCTGCGTTCTTTGTTTCAGATTGATAACAAGGGGAACCACCTGCTGGTCCATGAGGAGTCATCTATTAACATTCCAGCTATTGCTGCTGCCCATGTTATTAAGAGATACATTGCCCAGGCACCGGATGAGCTCTCCTTTGAGGTAAGTAGTTAAAAGCAGTGGCATTCCTTGTTGTCAAGTGCAGTGCAATGTGTGAACGCATCAGGAATACACTCAGACACCTTTGGAATCATAGAATGGCCTGGGTTGAAAAGGACCACAATGCTCATCCAGCTCCAACCCCCTGCTATGTGCAGGGTCACAACCAGCAGCCCAGGCTGCCCAGAGCCACATCCAGCCTGGCCTTAAATGCCTCCAGGGATGGGGCATCCACAGCCTCCTTGGACAACCTGCAGTGTTTGATGAGGTGAAGCTTAGAAGATTCAGCTCAATATTAGACTTGCAGTGGGTTGGATACAGTGAGGAGTTCAGTCATCTATAAAATATAGCTTTACTTGGCATTTGTATCTTTTGATTACTGCCAAGTATTCTAGCCTGGTCTCTGAGCAGCAGCAGAACCTGCACTCAACAGTGTGCATTCAATCCATTCAGGACATGTGTGTACATGGATACAAGCCAAATGAATTATTCATAGGCCAGTTCTATTTAGCCTATATTCCTATTCTAAAGTTTTTAAAAACTTCTCCTCCCATGAAAAGTGAAGAACCAGATTGTCAAAAATTTGGTACTGAGGAGACAGGCAATAATCCATAGCTGTTCTGGAAATCGTGCTTGATGCAGAGCAGGAGCTGCTTGGATGCAAAGCCCAGAGGAGTGGGCCATGCAATCTTTGGGTTCCTGGCTCTTCTATCCCAAAGCAATGTGTTTTGCTCTGTGTACCGTGGCATTATCAATGGAGCATTCACTGTGTCATGCAAAAAAGCGTGAAGGAAAACAGTTACTGCCCAAAGGAGCCTTTTTGTGATCACATTTCTCAGCAGGAAGTAAAAATAGTAGTGAGAGTTTATTGCTGCCAGGGCTTTGTTCGTATTCAAAATCAAGGCCATCGCTCCTGCATGCCAAAGAACGGAGCTAATCAGAAAGACGTGTGGGTCTGTCATCTTCCAGTTCAGATGCATGCAGTGCATGATGCAGGTACTTTGTTGGTGTCTCTATTAATTGTAAGCATTGGGATTGCAGTTCTGCTTCCAGCTTCAGTTTTATAAAGGCAAATGCCTTCAGAGCTGCGGTGGTGCAATTGCTCACAAATTTCAGAGCTTTTGCAGCGCAGATGAGTGCTGCCCTTTGAACTGTGCTTTCCTCCTGGCTGAAGCTGATGTTGCCAATCTCTTGCAGGTGGGAGACATTGTGTCTGTTATTGATATGCCACCAAAGGAGTTGACCACCTGGTGGAGGGGCAAGCACGGATTTCAGGTAGGCACAAGCTTCAGCCTTGATAGCACACCTTAAATAAAGTCAGAAGTCCCAGCTTAGAGCTGCTCTGCCTGCACAGAATTATGAGCATAAACACTTCCCCTGTGTTGGTGTAAGAAGACTTTGTTTTCCTTTTGCTCTAGGCTTGGGCTAGAGCTGAAATATGGCCTTTGTAGAAATTGTCTCCTCACCAACTGTGCAGAGCAGGGACAGCTGTGACTCTGATGCTGCTGGCCTGATGTTAGGGGAGCTTTTACTGAGCCCTGTCTGAGACAGCTGACAGTTACTCAGGTTATACCATTCTTTCCACTATCTAAAACTAGCTCAGGCAGGATGGAAAGGGCTCAGACAAAGGCAGCTGGTCAGACTGCCACTGACTTGGACGAGCCAACTAGTGTGTGCTTTCATGCCTCCATTTATTAGAAAGCATTAACGTTGCTGCTCTCTGTAAATGCCAGCAGAGAGATTTGGACTCAGTTTGCAACTTACCTGTGACTTAGGTACCAAAACTTCTGAGTTGAAGTGGTGCTTTCCTTCCACAGAGTTGTTATTCTGTTCAGTGGAACTACTTATTAAGAATAATTAAAAGAAAAAGCATTAATTTGCAGAACAAAGTCCCAAAGCTGCTGAAAGGGGGGGAACTGGCTTTGTCTCCTCACACTGCAGGAGTTTCAGCTCCTTCCAAGCAGGAAGGAACATTTGTTCTGTTGCTCCTCTGAGTAGGTGGGATTTTGAGTTCCTGCTGGAGGGGGTCAGAACTGACCACACTTGTGAGTTTGGGCCTAGAAAGCCCTCTTGGTGTACTGAGATGGACTTTTCAGTGCCAGACTCAGTCGTGGTTCTGCTGTCATTAATACCAGGGCTGCGTGCAGTTGGATCCCATCTGAATGGGATGTTACATCCAGAGCTGTGTTCCTGTCTCATGAGAGAGCACCTGAGATAGATACAGCTTTTGGTGCCTTTATATCAGGCGTGGGTGTTCTGATAATATCTCACTAAGATGTCCAAGCTGCTTTGACTTAGTGATTAGTGAAGTGCTCTAGTACTGCTTGCAGTGATCAGACTACGCTGTATTTAACTTGAGTGAATTGGTAAGAGAAAACAGAAATCCACTGTGTGAGCCAATATGCACAAAGAGAATTCAGAAGGATGGGGGATATTTCTCTGGTGTTGATGCACCTGGCCTAGGGATGTATTGCAGTTCAGTGCCATCAATTAATGCTTTAAAAACGGGGACATAGGGGAAGGATTTTGTTCTGTAATCTACAAAAGAACTGATAAAACTGTGCGACTTTTACAGAGTTGATTCCAGGTAAACAATTCTGCTCCCATTTAGGAGCAACAGCCATTGTAAAAATGATCACAATCTGCTGAGCCAGTCGTTTTAATTGATAAAATAAATCAACAAAGTCCGTCTTGCCAGATCGCTGAGATTCTGACATCATCTGTGCTGCAGGGAGCAAAGACTTGCTTGTAATGTCATGCAGCCTGTGAAATGCACACCAGTGCATGGCTGGTAGTATGGAGCTCCTCAGGTGAGGCTCTGAGCACTGTCTCCTGTTATCTCTAAGCAGGTTGTCAATAGCACAGGTGGCTGTGCTTCTGGCAGGGGTGGCACCAGGAGGAGATGTAGGACGACCTCGTGGTTGGTGGGTTCCAGTTTTTGGAATATCCTGTAGCAGTCTGTTCTGTGATGGAAGTATTTGGGAAGCATTTCAGGTGGTGGCCTTTGCATGGCAGATTCACACTGCAGGATGGAAAATGCGTAACAGAAAGCTGCAGGAGTGCAGCTCAGTGGGAGTGCAGTCATCTGCAAGGAGCCATGGGCCGTCATACGCAGCATCTTTCAGATTTGTCTTACCTCCATCTTGATGTTTTCTTTTCTCTATTTTGATGATGCATATTTTTAACGGAAAGCACATTAACAGGACGTGAGTCTGGATGGATAATGTGGGTAAAATCACCTCGTGTGTAGGGGAGGCACACACCAGAAGAAGACGATCTGAGTGGAATCCCAGGCAATGAGAGGTCCTTCCAGGAGCGTTGGAGCTGGCTGCCAGAGCTGTCCTTCCCTCAGAATATAAGAAGGCTCTTATTGCTTTATTTGCACACTGTTTGGTGTGCTCCCAGATCTCTCATCCTGACCTGGAAAGCTTTGACCATCGATGAACTTTTTGCCTACAGGTGTCCGGAGAAACCAGACCTGGCAGGGTGCAGATATGCTCCATTTGAACTGCAGCTTTGATTCAGTATGAAGGGTGGTTTGTGCTTTGCCAGCCCAAATGACTCCTTGGGAATTTGTCCTTCTGTTTCCTGTTGCAGTTGCAGGCACCTTTCCCCCAGTATCTGATCTAAGGACTGCACTGCAAAGTACTTAATCCTGCACGGAACAAAACAACCCGTTTGGCTCTTTTATCATTTTCCCTGGTTAAAGTACAATCATTTTTAAGATGTTTTTCCTCTAGCTTTTTTCTTTTCAAATGTCCTCAGTGAGTCACTGCTTTCATTGTAAGATTGTTACCTAAATTACGGCCACCTCCACTATAACAGCCTCCCAGCCCTCTTTGTTCTCTTCTTCTTTTCCTTCATGCTTTGTCTTTTCAATCAGTGTCAGATAGCTGAATCATCAGAGACAGGCCCTCTTCTGATGCACAACTGCCTTTTGATGTTCTTAATAATTCTGTCTTTGGGGTATGGCTTCATTAGTTGCATTGCTGCACAACAGGAAGCTGCCCAGCTGCTGGAGGTGGCACAAAATGATGCACAAGAATGTGTGCAACCAGCAGTAGATCGTGCGCTTTTGGAACCCTTTACGATTTACAAATAACAGAAAAAAAACTGAATTAAATTTAATCCGTGCTTTAGCCTCTGTCAAGACCAAAATGCAATCAAAATGTCTCAAACAGTATTTTATTTGACATTTATGTTGCTGATACGTTCCCATTCATTGGAATCCCCTCCTCCACCACTGACAGTGGTTACTGTTATTTTGTCTTTCCCACGAAACCTCCAGCATCTTCCAGCTTTAGCAAAGTCTGTGCAAAGAAATGATGTGGAAGCTGCTGTAGAAATGTGTGCACACAGCAGCAGTGTGTTTTCCTCCCTTGGTTCAGGCGTGAGTGATTTTTTAACCTTCACATGACCTTGTATTTATCTAAATATATGTTATCCTTGCTATTAATTTTCGTACGTTGCCAAATCCTTTAATCCTGGCCCCAGCACCAACAGCGCCTTGCTACATCTGCTGAGATTAACTCTTGGACTTAACTCATGTATTTATACAAACTCATGGAGAACTTTCCATGCAGGGAGAAGCAGCATCATTTAAGTGGGTGGGAATGAGGCAGAAGTCATAGGTGATGACCCTGCAGATGATCTCCTGAGGATCATTAAGAAATGTCAGGATAAATAAGTCAAAAAAATGCAAGCTGTCAGCTCTGTTAGCAGGAAGTTAAACGTCAGAGAGTTTGCAAGTGCTGAGAGAAGCCAGAATTCTTTCCCTTAGCATTGTTCATTACAATTGTTGGTTCTGAACATGGCAAAAAATGGGGTGTAGAAGCAAGAGTCATGTTATATTTGGGAGGGCTTTAGAGATATCTCAGAGCAGTGACACAGCCATCCCAGCCACGTTTCATTTCAAAAGCCATGGTTGGCATTTTGTATTGCACCGAGAAACAGGAAAGACATCACACCACATCTCTATTCTTCCTAACCTAAAAATTGTCTCCTGCATCTCTTGCATTGGAAATTTCTTAGAGCAGTGATTTAAAATACACATGATGACATTTGTTTAAATAGCAGAACTTCTTGCATATTTGCCAATCAGCATTTTTCTCCACATCTCCAGGGAGAACTAGGAACAGTCTCCCAGGCTGAGCTCTTCACCTGGGCACAGCATGCATGGCGCTGCTGCTGGTTGACTGGGAGCTTACTGGTGAAAATCACTGCAGAGAAAGAAAGAGTTCCTTTCTGCCTGGGGACAGGAGGGAGTTGTACAAGATGGCTCAATGTGGAGAGCCCTCTGCCAGGCTCCTTCCATGAGTTGTTGCAGCACTGGAGCAAAGCGTGGCTGCAGGGCTGAGATGATGCTTTCAGTTCACCTGGGGCAGGAGATGCTGCTGCTGGCTAAGCTCCTACCTCCAGCCAGCACTCTTCTGTGCTGTGCCACAGATCTGTGCTGTGATCCAAAGGGAGGAAAGGCTGGAGAGAAGGACAGAGGTGTTGCTGCCCAGGAGCGATGTGAGACCTGGAGTCCTGCTGCTGTTAGAGGTTGTTCTGCTGCACCATGCTGCTCCTTCTAGAAATAGCTGGGTTTATTTCTAGTCAAATTACTCTTCTGTTATTTACAGAATAACTCATTTTACTCCTTGGAGATGTTACTAAACCTCTTCTCAATTCTAAGGTGGAATTCATTTTAACCAAAAACCACATCTAAGCTGTCTAACAAGATGTTTAAATGTACTTGATTTGAATGCTTCAGGAATATCAATTACCCACCTTCATCAGGTTGTGCGCAAGCAATTAGGGCACTCAGAAACACTTTGTATAAAGCACTTTCTCCCTATTTTACTATAGAACAGTATGCATTTTTCTGCAATGGCACTACACAGACATGCAAAAATATTTACCGCAGTTTTATAAAGGAATACAGTGTCAAAGTGCTGGTGAATATACTGTTGTGAGAGTGGAAAAAGATCAGGTGTTGGTGAGATTTGAGTACAGATGAATGAGATGCTAAGAGCTGAACAACCTGCTTCATCATTAGATTTCTCATTGCACGCACAGGGAGCTCAGCTGAAGTCTTTCCCTTCAGTTCCCCTTTGGTGTAGGGCTCTAAGGCAAACTGTCCTCTCCCTGCCCCACGCACAGAAGTTGACCATCTCTGTCCTGTGTACAAGCATAGAGAACAGAACAATTATTTGGTTTGTGGACTTTCTGACTGCAGCATTTTGAAGAATGATGACTCTTATGCAGTCTGGTTTGTGTTGGATGAGGTTGTGGGGCATCAGGAAAGCACATCCCAAAGAAAATGTTATGTGGTTGTGGGTTGAACACTTCAGATCTTAGAAACACTGCATTCAGTACTCTGCCTCTCTTTTTGTTCTTGCCACAGGTTGGATTTTTCCCTAGTGAGTGTGTTGAACTAATTAACGACAAAGTTCCTCAGTCTGTCACCAATTCGGTGCCAAAGCCAGGTATGTATGTTGCATTTTAAGGTGCAGTGAAGTGAAATGGAGTCTTTTCTCATGTCTTCCATGTTTAACATCTCCTTTGTACACCCTATGTCACACTCCGTGTTGATCATCCTCTATGCGTTCCATTGCTGCTCTTTCTCTGTGTTGACCATCTGCAGGTTCTTCCTCTCTCAATGGTACCCACTGCTAAATATCTTACAGTGTTTTGCATGGTAGTAGCAGTGTTGATCTCTTGCATGGTCTGAAAGACTTTGGGCATGTGAGAACATAAGATTCCTGCAGCAATCCATGCAGCTTCCCAGCTCTGGGTGTTTTACATTCGTGTTTGTGGTTTTCTATAAGGAACACACCGGTGGTCCAAAAATGCTTCTGCTGATTTAGATGGAATAGATTAATCAGGTTTTGCAAGCTGCTTTCTCTTTGGAGTGTGATGGAGGGAATCAGCTAGAACAGAATTGGGATCCTCATTGCCTCTGTTCTGGGTATACAGCTCCATCCACTCCTACCACCCTTTGGTTCTGTGTCAAGTACAGGCAAACCAACAGCAGGCTCTGCTGATGGAAGGGAAAATAAGTAGGAGATGTAAGCTGCCCTCCTCCTGTTGTCCTAGTGCATGTTGGAAGTGGTTACAGGTATAGGTGCTGGGATGTCCATAGGATTTACTGGTGCTGAAGCTTTTGCTTTACTCCTCCAGTTTCTTATGCACAAGTGTTTGTGTGTGTGTTTATCTTCTGTATGATGAGAAGCAGTTTGAAATTGCTGATCTGTCCCAAAATGTTTTGCAGCAGGCATGTTGAGCTGGAGAGCTTCTTAATGAGGGTTCATCTGTTTTCTTTATTTTAATGATGGTCTTATCTTACGAGATTGCTGGTTTGATATGCTGCAAACGGATGCAATTGCAAAGTCTGATTTTTACTGCAGGAAATGCATTTTATCAGGCCTTGTGTTAGGACTTGGGAGCTTTCAGGTCAATGGTAAGAAGTCGTGAGCACCCTAAATTATCAGCCTGCTGCATTCATCTGCATTCTCCAGTTCAGGGAAATCAGTTTGGCAGCTTTTGTTATTCCTGGGAGCGTGCAAATTTATTTGCTGGGATCAGTGTGAGAGATCACTGGCAGTTGGAGGCAGTGCAGCAGGTGGTCATTCCCTAAGGGCAGTACCTCCTTCTGTTGGATGCTGAGCTCCATGCACTGTGCTCAGCCCCTGCTCTGTGCTCTGCCAGCTGCAGCATGGTGGATGAGGAAGCCTTTATGTACAGGCTGAGCTGATAGAAACAATCATAAGCGAGTGTTTATTGTTAAATATGGCTCAGGCAATTAAACGTCATGAACTGCTAGTGAGTAGATTCTTGCTATGCTTTAATGAGAGATAATGAAGTAGCATGGATTAATAAATTCTCTTTGGCTTTAACAACACGCTGGGGGGTGGATTTCCTCTGTCAGTCCAGGGAAATGTTTGCTACAAAGTTATAACAAAAGCCTGAATCCTATTAAAGGTAATATGATGAGATATTGCCAAGCCACGAGGCTGTCCCTGCTGCCCTTCCCTGGCAGTCATTCCAGGCGTGCAATTAAAGGCAGAAGCAGCACAGTGAGAAGGCTTCACATGCATGGACTGCTAGAGCAAATGTTGCAGCTGTTTCTGTAATCCCCCCCTGCCCTTCCTTTGCACACAGAATCAGTGTTACTGTATCACTGCAGCGTTGCACTCCCTGTTTTCTTTCCACCTTGGATGTCAGTGCACTGTGTGGTGGAGGCAGATGGCTCCAACTCTCCCTTGGTTGCTGCAGAAGTTGGGACTGGAGGCAGCTGGAAGGAGTTTGGAGCAGTTCTCCTCCCGTGGTTAAGCACATTGAATGTTGTGTTGCAGAACTGGAGGACTTGAGGGAAAAAATGATGTGTGAGGGACAGAAGGGGTGAGAACATCAGGGAGGAGGAGAGAGTTTCAGTTTGCTGCTCTGGGTTGCCACAGCTGCTGTGTCAGTATGGGCAGGAGGGAGGCACAGGGCAGCAATGAGGTGCTTGAGAAGCATTGCTGCAAAGTGTGCAGCTGGGTCAGCCAAGGAACTGCACTGCTAGGAAGATGCAGAGCTTGCTTTTTGCTCACCCGATGCATTGAATGCCTTTTAATCTGCAGCTTATGCATATATGGGATATTTTCCATGCACTTTAGTATCCACATAAACTAAATTTCCTCCATTTAGATACATTTTAAACATTAGATTGGCTTTTTCCCTGGAATAGAGACTTTCCTAAAGGGAAACACTTGGAGCTTTTGACCTTCCCTAACATTGTCAGGGACTTTCATCCAGAATTAATGATAAGTTGTAGATGTGGGGTTGATAAGACATGCTTATCAGCATCCAAACTTTATTTTCTTTAATCAAAGTTTGGTGTGCAGAGCTTCCAAGACGTGTTATATCTGCAGCATAAAGCTCTTTGCCTTAAAGGACTTCACAAATGTGGGACTGCTTGTGCTGTTTAATTGTCCATAGATTTGGCTGCATTGAGTAATGTAATGAAAAGCAGATGGAAAGCAAAGAACTTCCTGCCCTGTGTTTTTACTGTTATTTACAGAAAGAGGCTTTGATTTGCAGAAGTGATGAGGGCAACATTTTAATGGAACCATAAAATATTGCAATGGTCTTCAATCCAGTACCAATAATGACAGAAGTTCAAATGGAAACAAAAGGCAGCAAAGGGAGAGGAGCGCTGTGCTGAAGTGCAAACTGCTTCTCGAATAAGTCTTTCCATGGGCTGTGCAAGTCCTAACTGTACTTTTGGGAATTGCCCGTGGGTTGTGGCTGCATTTCCTCTTCTTTTCCATCTCTGCCCAGCTCTGGCTGTCTCTCTGCAGCAGTGTCTGTGTGCTCGTGCTGTCCCTGCTCACTGCTTTTGCTCATAGCTCTGCCAGGCAGTGTGTCTCAGCTGTCTGTCTCACCCCATTCTATCTCATAACCGTGGATATGTGTAGTCTGACAGTATTTAAAACCACCAACCGTGCTTCACCTCATCCATGCACTTTGCCCCATGCCTGGAGGCGCTGGCATTGCTGTTGGTCTGTAAGCATGCTTGCTGGTGGGGAGCATCTTGTTCCCACTGGAGCACAGCTGCAGTTGTCAGTTTGAGCTCAAGTGAAGAAATGGGGGGTAAAAAGGTAACTTTTTTCCAAAAAGAGTGTTTTTAAAAACTCAGGGATAGTTCTCAGCCATCCTCCGTCCTGCTCTGGGCAATGGAGTCAATGGGCCCAACAGCTCTGCCCACGTTTGTGGAGGGATGTTTTTCAAGTTCTTCTCTGATCCGTTCATTTAATTCAGATTTAACAAGGAGATGTGCTCTTATTATATGAAATCAAGGGTATGTGAAGGGGTGTTTATTTAAAAGATGGAGAAGAATAAGGTGCAAATAGATGGGACGTGCTGCAGATGGCAGGGCTGAACAGCCATTTGACACTGGTGAGTGCATAATGTCTTAATTAGTGTTTTTATAGCAAAAATATGGAAAGAAAATGTACCTAATTAGTACCATTCTCGTTAACCTTCAGTAAACAAACTGTTTCAATAAAGCTAAATTAAATGAAAATGTTACTGAGGCAATGCAGGTGCTGTTTGCAGGGTGGAAGCAGACAGGGAGCAAACACACAACGCACTCAGGGCTCCTAAAGCAGTCCATGGTCAGAGGACTGGTATCAGCACTGACAAACCTATGGACCAATCCTTGAAGAAATCGTGTTTTCTCAGCTCCTATGGAGTGAGAGGACAAAGGTTTGGGGATGAAAGGTCAGCAGTGCAGTGTGCAGTGTGCTGGTGGTTCCTCTGAGCAGCTGGGAAGGGACCTCAGCAGGGCAGTGCCAGCATGGCATCACTGCTCTGACCTGGGGGGGATGACATTTCCTGGGCTTTGTGTCTTCTGCATTCCATCCAAACACCAAGCTCACGCCTGGGGCAGCAAAGGCTGAGTCTGCCTTGTGTGCAGTGAGTGATTTTGGGGGGGAAAAACCACTGACAAGAGGAAAATGTTGCATCTTAGGCAGTGAATGCAGGGGATGGAATGTAAGATAAAGCAGCTGTCTGCTTTAGCTCTGTGAGAAATGGAGGAAAGCTGAATATGTAAGAAAACCATTTATGCACACAACAAATTTACAAATTTGTGAGGTATTTTTAATTATTGCCGCTAATGGATCAGCGTTGTCTGTTTATATAAAGACACACTACAGCTTCCAGCCCTGTTTCTGACTCAACAAAGTGCTTAACCATAAACACATGCTTAGCAGGCACTGCAAGGGCTGCAAACAAAGCAGAGGTTTGGCTGTGCTGCTCAGCAGGGTGGGCCTTGTGCAGAGTTCAGGCATGCCTGGTGTGTTGTTCCTGAGCTGGGACACGCTGGGTGGGGAATTCCTGGATCCCAATGGATTTCCAAAGCCATACGTTTCTTTCTTCCTGGTTTCCCCCTTGTTTCCATCTCTCTGTTCCCTTTCTTCCCCCTGCACGCACCAGGCAGTGGCACTGATGCTCTGAAGGATATCCAAGAATCCGAAACAGAGCTCAGTCTGACACGTGCCTTTGTAAAACTTTGGACATAAGGCAGAACACAGCAGGGAAACAAAGCAACTGCTTCTCAGCCTCTTTTTAGGCCCTGCCAGTGCCGATGTGAGGCTCCCAGCAATAACCTATTGCTGTGCCTGCAAATGTCCTGTTTTGCCATTGAGCTCTCACTTACACGCACAGCTCCTTCTGGGGTGTTGCTGGGATGTCGTAAATCAGTCTTAAAATTGGATATGCAAATACTGTGTGTGTGCCTATCTATATTAAAAAAAGCAATATATATGCGTGCATGTAGAGATGCATATGTCCTTTCCCTGTGTACACACTTCCAGCCCGTTGGCATGGAGATGGGGCTGTGTTACCATGGTAATGGGGATGCAGGGCTCCAGCTGCTGTTCTGCTGGAGAGCACAGGGTGGGCGATGCTGCTTCCTGAGCACTGGAGAAGGAGATGCACT